AGAGTTCATTGTGCCCACTGCCTTAGAGTGACTGCCTGTCCCTGCCCCGCTGCCCGGCCTCAGCCTTCCCGGTGGCAGGGTGGCAGGGGCGGGAAGGTGGCCTCGCAGGAGGCATCTCCCCCAACAGTGGCATCGTGCGGGAGTGACAGGTACCCTGTGATCCACAACCCCACTGCTTCTGCCTCTGAGGCAGGGACCACCCCCCGACCTCAGCTCCTCCTGGAGCCCAAGGTGGGAAGGTGGAACTAGGCTGGATACGTGTGCTCGTCATTCAAGTGGAGGTTCTCGTATGATATCAGAGCAGAGGAGGGACCCGTTGCCAGGGCAGCCAGGAGCAAGGACTGGGCAGGACGCGTCTGCTCCTTCAGGCCCGTCTCCTCCTGTGCCCTCCACCTCCGCAGACCTGCAGCCCCACTTCCGTATGTCCATGTTTCTCTCCAGGGTTTCACTGCCCTGCACCATTGTCCCTGAGCGTGTGGCTCAAGCCAGGACAGTTCTTCCATCAGCCCTGAACCTCCCTTCATCCCAGCCCCATCTGATCAATTCTGCCTGCTCAGTTTACCCCCCAACTCCCCCACCCATGCCCAGAGAAGACCACCCACATGCTGACAATGAGGAGTGGCACATAGCTGGTGCCACTGAGAGGGACACAGAGCAAAAGCCACGGGCCCCAGAGGCCACTTCTAGCAGATACAGGTTTCACTGCTGTGCCTAGATATGTAAGTGGCATCATACCAAGTGGGGAAAGAAATATGTCAGGAAAGGCACAGAGAAGAGGCCACATGGGCAGGCAGCACCAGAAGGTTCTGTCCACTCTGTGAGCAAGGCTGGGCTTTGAGCCTGGCTCCAGGCTGGGCAGGGATGCCGGGATGACCGACGACAAAGGCAGAACCCCCTGCCCCAAGAGCTCACAGCCCCATGAGGTGACCAGGCATCCTCACTGATGCCATACAAGAGGGCATCCCGGGGCTGTGAGGGCAGCAAGGGTGAGCATTTGATTTCTTTGGAGAACATCCGGACAAGCTGCCCAGAAAACAGGATGTTTGAGTTGGGGTTCTGAAGGATGTACAGGAGTTGGTGAGAAAGACAGAGGCTAAAAATGGGAAAGGAAATTTCAGGGAGAGAAAACAATGTGAAAAACAACTATAAAAACAGTTATGCAGTTTTATTGAACAGCTACTCAAGTCCCCCACTGGGCCAGGTGCTTCTAGGTGTTACCTCTGGAGGTCTAACCATGCTTGTCCTCCAGGTGAGGAGACTTGGGCTCAGAGAGGTTAAGGGGCTTGCCTGAGGTCACCCAGAGCTTGGCTCTGCCCTGCTGCCTGGTATATGGCAGGGCAAGGGTTAGGACAAGGCGAGCGAGATGCCTAAGTCACAACATTGAAGGAGGCATTCATTTAAGGTGACCCCAGAGTGACTTGTTCAGTGTGGTGCCCTCGGGGTCTTGCCTGCCTCACCCTGTTCGAGGCCCTGGGAATTTGGGTATGTGGAGCTAGAGCAGCAGGCCGGTTGGGGCCCAGTTAGGAAGGAGCTTGGCAGCTACATGTGGGATCTTGAACCTTGATCTTGTGGGCACTGGGAACCGTGGAGGGCTTTAAGCAGAACAGGGACACATCAGGGCTGTGCGCAAGGCTGGAGAGGAAGGCTGGCCCGCACCTCGGCTTCACTTCTGTTTCCTTGGACCACAGGCGATTCAGAACCTCCCCAGGGTCCCTTCACTTCACTTAGGCGAGGGTGGCGGGAAGGGGTCTCCTCACCCTTCCCCCATGTGTGACAACGGTGACACCCAGAGAGGAGGATGCCATTGTCAGGGAACCAGCTAGGGCCACAAGAGCCTTAATTATGCAAAGTTATTTTTTTTTAAAAAAAAAGATCGGACAGAGATTTCTGCTGTCTCGGAGCCCTCCAACTACAAAATAATTAAGGCAGGCGAGAGAGGTGGGTTGGAGCCCACCACAAGTGACAGGGGCTCTGGGATGCAATTCTTTGAACTCTCAGCAGCAGTAATTACTGTGAAATGTCCTTAGTGATTCAGTCAATTAGAAGGGAGACACTCTTATCTCTTATTAATGGCCTGGGGACGTGCAGGTTGTGTCTGGGGGGAGGTGGGAGGGGGAGGGATTGATACAGAAGATTCTTCAGTCTTTTGACAAAAAATAGTTGTATCAAAAATTTCATAGAAATATTTGACAAGAAAACTAAGAACTTCTAGGTATAACTTTTTTCAGGCTTGTTAATATCCTTCCCACTAATCTTTTTCAGTTCTGGTGCTTTTGTGCTTAAAAAAACCATCAGAAGTGCCCAAGTACAGCCAGAACTGAGGTTGCAGTGGGCCGTTTGGTGCTTCTGTTTTCAACTATGGATTAGGTCATCCTCTCAGCCCTTGACCTTTGTGGTTTCCTGCTCCTTAAAGCTAGCAGAAGACACAGCCCCTGGCTCTGTGACATCCGGTGCGGATGCTTCTCTGTGATTTTGGTCCCCATCTGCCTACCGAAACCCCACAAAGCATGCCAGGAGCTCTGCAGGGTGCAGGGCGGAGTGAGCTGGACCAGCCCTAGTGGTTTGGGTGGAGGCTGGAGGAATCCACCGAGGCAGGCGAGGGGTACAAAGTCGGGGTGCAAGAGACGGACCCCGCTTTATGCTTTTATATCTTACCTTCTGTCTGACGCCTAGCAGCAGGGATGCTAATTCAGTTGAGAGAGTCCCTGCCACGTATGAGGGGAGGTGCTGGGGGCTACCCAGATCCCTGAAGAGTTTGAGGTGCATCTTCTTTCAAACCTTCTGCCCCATTTCTCCTAAGTATTAGGTCTATACCCCTGTTCATTTAAAGACAATACAGAATCTCAGTGCTTTAGTTTAAGTAAGAAATCAAATATTGAATTTGCCTTTATTCCAGGCATGAGAGAAGAGGGAAATGTCATTGATTTAAATTTCTTGGCTTAACAAAGAAAAATTACGAATGTTTATACCTGCAAAAAAAAAGGTGACAGTGTACCAGGGCACAGAACACGATTATGTGAGATGACCAATCAGAATGCAGAGGTTTTAGAGGCTAAAGGTGACCCACAAGGACGTCACCTCCTCACTGCAGGGAGGGGAATCCTGGAGAAAACCAAATCTTGCCATGCCCTTCCTCTCTCCGAGCCCTTCTGTGGCTCCCTATTGCCTACAGGATGACGCCCTTCCCATGGCTTTCAGCCCCTCGCTCTCGCCTTTCTCAGCCTACGTGGCCTTCAATTCATCCCTGTCTCAGGGCCTTTGCACATGCTATGACTTCTGCCTGGAGTCCCACTCCCTGGTATCTCACTTCATTCACGTCTCTGCTCAGATGTGCTCTCCCATAGAGGCCCTGTCTATCCAAATCACCAGCCCCCATTTCTCTCTGTCTCCTCACTTACTTTATCTTTTTCTTCCACCACGGCCCAACGGTATCACATGTCACTGATTTTTACTATCTGTCGCTGGGAGGAGAATGTGGGCTCCAGGAGAATGGGGGTGTTGCTCACTGCAGCATTCCAGGGTCTCAAACAGTGCCTGGCTATGGTGGGCGCTCAGTATGGACTGGTTAACTGAGAGGATGAGTGAATGCATGTAGGCATGACCACATGAGAGCATCCGATCGGCATGAAATGTTTCCAGCCACCCTGGAGAGGGGAGCTGGGCAGGAGTTGTCTCTCTGGGAAAGGCAGGAGCAGTTGTCTACCTTGGACAAGAAGAACGGGTTCCTAGATGGGGGGTAAGGGGCTGGGACAGACCTGGGAAGTGGGATATGGGACTTTCCCACATAGGAGGGGCCAGCAGGAAGGGCACTCCTGTGAGCCTCTGGGGGCACGTGATCAGCTCTCTGCTTCCCTGTTTTAAGCCTGGAGCCTCGAGACCAGTAGGCAGCCACTCAGCTGGTGCCCGTGGGGACAGCTGGACAGGTTGTCAAATGTTTAAAAGTCCTTCCAAACTGGCTGTAGAGGCTGCCAACCCACCACCCCATCCTCTTCCCTGACCCCCAGGCCCGTCCATGGCCCAGGTCCTAAGTGGTCAGCAGGGACCCTAATTTCCATCCTGCTGCAGCACCAGAGCCACTGTAGGATCTGATTGTCCAGTGAGGTGGGCAAACTACTGGGACAGCCAGCAACAGACATGGAACTTGGAAGAGCTTGTCCTGCTGCATGGGAACCTCCTTGTGTCAGGAAGGCCTGGCTATGGGGGACAGCAGGGAAGGGATGCTGCTTGGGGAACCGCTCACTGCCCACTCTGGGATCTCTGGTAAAGGCAGCAAGCTGTTGCCTCCAGGGGTCAGGTAAGCGGCTTCCTGTGTGGAGCAGCTGGTCTAAAGTAATAGGAGGTGGGTGGCAGGCAGCAAACGGGACTCAGGCTGCATCCGTGGTGGCGAGGTTTGATTTTGCTACAACCCGCATGGCAGACAAACAGAACATACCTATGAGTGGGGCTTGGCTGTGTGTGCCCAGTGCACCATGAACAGAGGCCCCAGAGCCAGTTAGAACCACAGGCGGTGCCCAGCCTAGTCCAGGACGTGGTCCAGCACCTTCGAGGATGCCCGGACACCTCACAGTCCTGGCATTTGGCATCACCAGCAGGAGGCAGCAGAGAGCAGCACATTGAGTACAGCTCTGGGTTCAAATCCCTCCTCCACCACTTTTTCCAGCTCTGAGGCCATCCATGCCTCAGTTTTCTTGGCTATAAAATGGGAATATTAGTGGTACCGACCTGATATTTTTATTGTGGGGTTAGATAAGGTAACACACGGGAAAGGCTCAGCACAGAATCTGGCTTAGAGTAAATGCTCAATAAACACTGTTCCAAGAGCTGGTTCTTCCCTCTTTGGAGGATCCATCTGGGCCTGGGCCTGACCTGTACTTAGTTATAAGTTTGATGAATGAATAAACGACCTACCGCATGAGCCCAGATTGGAAATGGAGTCGTCTGTTGTTTGGACCCCACGGGTGGGAGCGGCCCGGTGACAGTGGTTGTTTTTGTCTCCACAGTATTTGAAGAGCCCGAGGACCCCAGTAACCGCTCGTTCTTCTCGGAAATTATTTCCTCCGTGTCGGACGTGAAGTTCAGCCACAGCGGCCGGTACATGCTCACCCGCGATTACCTCACAGTCAAGGTCTGGGACCTGAACATGGAGGCGCGGCCCATAGAGACCTACCAGGTGGGCACTGATGCCTGGAAAACCTCACAGCCCCTCTGCGGGTGGGAGACCCGCAGCTGCCCTTCCCTGTGCTGAGAATTCACACCGAGGGGCTTTCCCAGCTATAGGGTGGCTTTCATAAGCCCATTTTGCAGGTGAAGACACTGAGGCTTGAGAAATCAGACAGCTCGTCCCACATAGCTCAGCCAAGGACAGGAGAACTTGCTCAGCCCCGCCTCACGGGCAGCTGTGTGTCATCTGCTTGCTGGCTCCTGCCCTGAGGCAGGGCTGTGACTAGGTCTGCAGTCCAAGGTCCAGGGGACAAAGATGAGCATCAGGCCGGGCTCAGTTTGAGGGTGCAGACGATGGCTTCCCTCCCCTGGAGCCGGCGTCTGCAGTCCTACCATTAACGCAGGCTAAGCATTGCCCTCTCCCAGGGAGCATCCTTAGCTAGTGATACAGTGGTGAAATGGGAGCATGGTACATTTCTAAATCCTCAGTGCAGGCTTTTTGAGCCAGGCGTACAGGACGAAGCGTGGGACACCTTCCTGGAAAGTCATTTATTATTTTTCTATTATGATTCATCCATATATATTAGGGAATAGAAAACAAAATTCATGTGATGTTAAAATTTGGCAGAAATATGGGACTGTTTTAAAGCTGCGCCAGTTATGTCTTTAGCTGGGGCAGTCTGGGAGGCTTCTTGAAGGAGGTGACATTTGTGCTGGACCTTGTAGGATGAGTAGGATTTGGTTGTGCAGATTTGAGTGAGAAAACAGTACCCCTCCCCGCAGAAGACCCAGCCAAACCCTCATAGTGTCACCAAATATTGGGTGCACACAGAGTGCCACATATATTTTTCACCTCTATTCCTTACTGGCCCTGTGAATGGGGTGATATCAGCCCCACTTGACAGGAAGGGAACCTGGGATGCTGAGAGGTTAGGATATGGGGAGCTGCCTTACAGTTGGGCAGTGACAGATTCGGGGGCCCAAATGGGAGCTGCACAGCGCCCTTCCCTGTCTTCCTTCCCTGCCAAGGCCTGGGGGAGGGCAGTGTCCTGGGAGGCGGAGGACCCCCACTGGGAAGGGGCACAGAGCTCAGAGGGGAAGACGGGGTACTCAGAGTCTGACCTGGGACACGTGTGCTTCTGGCAGCTCCACACCCACAGGGACGTCTGGGGCGGCTCTGGTGCCCTTGCCCCGCCCCCCAGCTTCCTCCGGACAGATGGATTCATGAAAGGGCCCCTTTGTTAGCCACTTGTGTTTACTGCAGGCCTCCAGCTCCCACTGCACTTCCCAGGAAGGGGTCAGCCCCTTCTCTACCCTTGGGAATGGGAGGGGTCAGAGATTGGGGCGGGAATGACTTAACCCCTGCTCAGGCCTCTGGGACTGACTGTTCTGGCACCTTCCCAGGGCATGCCCTTCCCAGAGCCTGCCCAGGGACATGACTGTGTCCAACCCTCTGAGGCCCCTCAGCCTTTCGTGTCCCTGGTGTCAGCAAAAGCCCCCAGGCCCTGAAGCTAGGTGCACTGTTTAATGTGAGCATTTTGTGGGGAGAGGGTCCAGAGCCTTCAGATTCCCAAAGCATGTGAGGACCCAATAAAGCAGGAGAATCACTGCTCTGGAGGACCAGGTCCAAAGCTGGGTGCTTGGCTTCTGGCCCAGCTGACCTATTGATTCTAAAATAGTAATCTTTACATAAAACCAACATAACTAACATTTTTTTAGCTGTTAGGTGCTAGAAATTGTGTAAAACAGAATTGTGTTTGGCTGACTTGCAGTACTGAATAGATTGGGGCTTTTCTCCCTTCACAGGAAGCCTGGAGTATCCTAGAATACTTAGTGGCTTTGTGACCTGCCCAGTGTCCCAGTAGCCACTTCTGTGATTTAGTTCACTATCGTTTGAGTGTTGGTTTTCTACCTTCATGTTTGATACCTCATGGTGGCAAAACGGCTGCCACAACTCCAGGAACTATGTTGACCATCCATTCAGGAAAGGAGGAAGTGTGAAAGGCTGTGCTGGTTGGATCTGTGGTATGTTGTTATGAACACAAAAACTTTCCCAGAACACTCCTGAGAAGACCTCTTACAACTCATTGGCTAGAACAGGCCCATGACCAGGCTGGAAAAATTAGTAGGTTTACGGCCTCTGTGGTTGAAGGAGACAGGGAGAAAAGGGTAGGCATGGGTGTTGAGTGAGCCTTAGCATGTGCTTCATTGACCTAAGACCTTGGCACACTTTTCCTCTTCTAAGCCTCCCAGCTGTCCTGGGCGTTGGGGACAGTGTTCTCTCTATCCCATTTTATTTGGAGAAAATTGAGTTAAATGGCATATCTGTGGTGGTAGAGTAGCAAGCAGCCGACCTTAGATTGGTCTTTCTTACTCCATAGTCAACACCCTTCCTCACCCTGCCACCAGAGGGCAGGAGGCACTCAGTATGCAGGAGAGAACAGCACGTGTGTTTGGACGAGTGCATCAGTGAGGCTGCCTTGAGTGCAAGGAGCACACACAAACGTGCCAACCTGGAGGGGTGAACACGAGCATCTTAACAATCTGTCTGTGTCCAGAAATGACCTCAGGCACCATTTATCCCTATTCATCTTAGTCGTACACATACTGGGCTGGTGCTTTGTGCCCCACTAGACCCTGGGCTCAGAAGAAGGGAGGAGCCATGGCCTCACCCTCAAGGGTCCCAGATGACAGGAACACAGTGAACCTGAGCCTGCTGTGGCCATGGACTAGGAGACCTCTAGCCACAGACACACACCACATGAGAGGCGCTGAGGGCTTTTGAGGAAGCAGAGTGGAGAAAGGGGAACAGCTGGGGGAGGGCCCTGCTATTTCTTCAGACAGGTGGCCTACCTGGGGAGCCCAGCCCCACCGTCTCCAGTTGCCTCTAACCCCACTCATTTATTTTTAAAAAATGTATTGAGGTCCTGTGATGTGCCAGGCCCTGTGCACCCCACTGGGAAATTGTTAAGGAACAAGACAAATAAGCCCTGCCTGGAGGGGCATCCGTTTCAGCAGGGAAGATGACCAGAAACCTAGCAAATAGGTGAAATAATCACAAGCTTCCAAAAGAGTGACAAACCAGGGGCTGAGGCAGAGAAAATAGGGATGCTGAAGCCTAGGGGAAATAAGGGCATGAGCCCTCTACAGGGAGGGTGTTCCCAGAGGAGGGAAGAGCAAATGCAAAGGTCCTGAGGCAGGAACATGGTTAGTGCGCTCAAGAAATGGTGAGGAGAGACTTCCCTGGAGGTCCAGTGGTTAAGACTGCGCTTCCAATGCAGGGGGCGCTGGTTCAATCCCTGGTCAAGGAACTAAGATCCCACATGCCACACGGCATGGCCAAAAAAAAAAAAAAAAAAAAAAAAAAAAAAAAAAAAAAAAAAAAAAAAAAAAAAAAAAGGAAAGAAATGGTGAGGAGCCAGCTGGAGCAGAGTGAACATATGGGAGAGAAGAGCCTGAGGTCAGAGAGGTGACCGGGGGGACTTGTGTGCACCGGAGGGTTTTGAGCAGAGGCATGACGTGATTCAGCTTGGTTTCAAAGGGATCCCTCTGCTGCCTATAAGATAAACCAGGGCTGGGGACTGGGGTATAGGCAGACACAGGGAGAGTAGTCAGAAGTCGTTTGCAATAAGCTGGGTGGTGGTGCTTGGAGCAGGGTGGCAACGTAGGACAGATGTGGTGAGAAGGGACTGGGCTCCGGATTGCTTTGGATTCTGGACAAGCTGAGTGTGGGTAAGAGAGACAAGAAATGTGTGGAAACATGCTGTCACCTGTGGCCTTTGGTACCTTTGTACAGAAAGGATGGGGGACGGTAGAGGGACCAGAGTTCACTAGCCTTGAGGGGTCTGGACGGTCCAGTGTGGGCTTTGGGGAGAGAGGTCCTGGCTGGAGAGAAACATCTGGGTGATGTCAGCATATGGACAGAATTTAAAACAGTAGTGCAGGGAATTCCCTGGTGGTCCAGTGGTTAGGACTCAGCACTTTGACTGCCGAGGGCCCAAGTTCAATCCCTCACTGGGGAACTAAGATCCCATAAGCTGTGAGGCAGGGCCCAGAAATAAAAATAAAGCAGGAGTGCAGGTTGAGTGGGAAGAGAAGGGCGGTGGAGCAAGCTTCACGGGCAGGGCGGGCAGGGAGCCCTCTCTGGGGAGGGGCATGCCATCCGAGGCCTGAGGAAGTCCTGTGTTAAGAACCTTCCAGGCTGCGGGGTCAATATAAACACACGCTAAGTCAGGGCAGGAGACTCAGGTGCACTTGATGCTCTGAGGAGCCAGAGAGAGAAGTTCAGCCTGGGGGAATCCAGGGGGGCTGCCAGAGGAGGAGGCCTACTCTAAAGCTGGGTTTTTAAAGATGAATAAGAGGTTCCCCAACGGAAAAGGACAAAAAAAACCTTTTTCTTCCCCACCCCTCGCTGCACTTGGCCCTTGGTTTGTGGCCAATGTCACTGCCCAGCAGGAGTTGGACACCTTTTTTTTTTTTTTTTTTTTTTTTTTTTTTTTTTTTTTTCCTTGCGTTATGCGGGCCTCTCACTGTTGTGGCCTCTCCCATTTGCGGAGCACAGGCTCCGGACGCGCAGGCTCAGCGGCCATGGCTCACGGGCCCAGCCGCTCCGCGGCATGTGGGATCTTCCCGAAACGGGGCACGAACCCGCGTCTCCTGCATCGGCAGGCGGACTCTCAAGCACTGCGCCACCAGGGAAGCCCTGGACACCTTTTTCTCTCCATCCCTCCATAGTTAATCGGGGTCGCAAACACCTCCCTGGTGGTTTGCCCCATGGTCGCTGCCCTGAACCCTCATGCTGTTCTCCGGTGGGGGAATCTCATGACCCGCTTTTCAGACGGGAAACCTGAGGCTCATAGCAGCTAAGTGACTCCCCTGGGTCACAAAGGGGCAGAGCCAGGAGTTCAGGCTCCATGTTACCCATTTACCTGCCCCTTCCGCCACCCAGAGGGCAGGACCATGTCCCCAAAGAGAGCTGGCACCCAGGAGACCCCGTGGTTATAGAGCTTGTGGCATGGGCTACAGTCAGATAGACGCAGGTCATGGGGCATCAGCATCCCTCCTGTGGTGTCTGGTAACCCTGGGAGAGGATCCTGGCCTTCCACTTGTACGCTGTGTGACTTTGGGCCAGTTACTTAACCTCTGAGCTTCAATGCCTCATCTATAAAACAGGACAGGTGGCGTCTGCCGAGATCACGCTTGAGAGGCCTGTGTGAATTCTCCTTCCCCTTTTCTCCATGATGGTCACCAATGTGCTCACGGTGACTACTGTCCTCAGAGGACATGACCCTATACCAAATAGTCACTTACATTTGATCCCAGAACAGCCCATGAGGTGAGTGCTCTTATCACTTTAAGGATGAATAAACCAAGGCTCAGAGAGGGTGAGGTCACTGTCCAGGGTCACACAGCCAGGGAGGAGCAAAGCCAGGATTTGGTCCCCTCTCTGGCCACAGCTCAGGGGTCGGCCATGTGCCAGGCTATGGACCCTTCCCGATGAGCAGGGCTGAGTTGGGAGTGCCATCCAGACCCCGGAGGGCACAGGCCTGCTCAGTGAGACCCTCCTCGTGGAGGGGGGCCAGGACCGTCGGGGTGCCCCCCTCAACTCACCCCGTCCCCTTCTCTCACCAGGTCCACGATTACCTTCGGAGCAAGCTCTGTTCCCTGTATGAGAACGACTGCATTTTTGACAAGTTCGAATGCGCCTGGAATGGGAGCGACAGGTAACCTCAGACCTTGGACCCCACCCACCTAACTAGGGACCTTCCACTCTGCAGGGCCGGCTGGTGACCTGGGCGGGATGTGTCAGGGGAACTAACTGTTATCAAGCCTGAGTTATCAAGCTGTTCCAAGGAGGCCCAGTCTTTCTTGTAGCAGGTGCGAGCTCTCAGCTCTCAGATTCAAGGACAGAAAGGAAAACTTCATGTTCTGAAACTATACCTAACATCCATGTGGAGCCCTGTTCTCCTGAGTGGTAGTGGAAACACCTTTAGTCAATTCCAGGTCCCTCACCGTGCAGCCCCTTCCCCAGGTTGTCAGGATTGAGGGCAGTACAGGTGCCAGAGCCCCAAGGCGGGGAGGGCTTTAGCCACCGGTCTAGCCCCGCCTCCACCCTCCTCCAGCCATCCTGGTTGTAGCTTCAGGCCCCCTGGGCTCCGGGGAGCATGGGAGACCCACCCACGGCTCTGAGCCTGACCTAAGTTCCTGCTTCCCCATCACCTGGCTCAGCCCAGGGCGAGCGTGGACAGGGAAGGCCCAGGGCAGGGACCTAGGTGACCAGACCGTGCAGGGCTGAAAAGCACTCTGGCCAGGATATCCGCCTGTCGCCCGTCACACTTCACAAGCGGAGCGAGTTTGGCTAGGGAGAAGGCGCGGAGTGAGAGCCGGCAGCCTTCGACTCAGGTGCCATCCCGGGGCGCGACCATCCACATGGACCCCGTCAGTCCTGCGTGTCCGGCCAGGAGCAGGCTGGGCTGTCCCCGAGTTCTGAGTGTGGCCAGCACTGCCGTGGTCGTGTGAGAGCTTCTGTGCTACCACCCTGTGTGGCTGTGAGCACAGACCCACCGGGACCTCCAGGGAAGATGGGTGCGGACCCAAGAGGGGTCGAGCTGCTGTGTCCAGGGGTGGAGGATCCCCTAGAGCTTCTGCCAGCATCCTGGGGCTCACTTGGCCTGAGGAGTCTCCAAGTGGACAGTGCTCTCAGAGGGACCAGTATGGTGGGCACAGGGGGTCCGCTGAAGGACACTTAGGAAATCAGGTGGAGGCCCTGGCCTGAGACTGGGCTGATGCAGCGGGGTCAGAGGGGACCCACGGCACTCCCTCCAGGGGCCTGCCCCCAGGCTGACACACTGGGGGTTCCCCAGGGATTACTGGCAGTAGGTCTGGGGCTGGGGGTCTATTAGAATCTCAGAAGACAGCAAAAAAGGGGATTCCAATACTGCTGTGTGTGTGTCTGTCGTCTGTCTGCCTGTCTGTCTTTCTGTCTTTATGTGTTGGGCTCCCAGTGGTTGTGACCGCTGCCCGCCTTTCCTTCACATCACCACCAGGGGGCGTCCATGAACGGGGATGCTGGGCTTCCAGAGACTGGAGCCGCCTTCTCTTCCTGGCTTTTGGGTGCCCAGCCTGGAGCTGCTGTCCTGCCTCTCACTGCCATGCACTTTACATGCCAGCCACCCCAGCCCTGGTAGTCCCTGCACCTTCCTCCACAACCCGCTCTACTCCCAGCCCCTGGGAGCCTGACCACACTGCACCTGGCTCACTCCTGCTGTCACCTCACTTTACTGACTCAACTCAAGGCCACCTCCTCCAGGAAGCCCTCAGGGTCCTCTGCATCTTGATACCCCCCAGCCTCCTGAGTTTTCCTTCTGTGTCTTTGCATTTATTACATGTTTTCATCTTGCCTCTGTTTGCCTTCCCCACTGGTTGAGGTGTCCCTGGGAGTGGGACTGTAGCTCAGCCCATCCTGAGCCCCTCACTTGGGGCCTCAGGAGTGTCCAGTGAGTGGTTGTTGACCTTCTGGAAGGCATAGGGGCATGCCACCTCCTTCCACTTCAACACAAGCATCCCATGAGCCCAGCAAGCCCCAGAGAGGAGGATCCCAAGGTAAATAAAGCCTGGTCCCGGTCTTCCAGGAGCTCAGAGGCAAAGGGGAGAAGCAAGTGCTGCCTTCCAGGGCCCCAACCCTTGAAAACAAAAGCAAACCTTCTGAATCCCTCAGCTCAGCGTTTTCTGTCCTTCTCATGTTAATGGGAAGCTTCCACCATGCCAGTTGTATAGGTAGCAGGACAGAGCGGGTGGACATCTGATAACCCTCACAGCGCCCCTTACCCAACTCTAGCAAGACTTAGATGGGCAGCCTGGGGGCGAGGAAAGAGCAGCAGTTTGGGGGTCAGACACCCTCGATTTCCAGACCGTGCTCCATCACTCTCCAACTGCATGCTTGAATAAGCCACCTGACTTCTCTGAGTCTGCTCACCTGGAAAGTAGTTCTAACAAATCGTGACTTTCAAGGGCTGCTTTGAGGATAAGATGCTGTGTGTGAAACTCCTGGCAAGGCCATGGCTCCATATTGGCAGCGGATGGTCCGATGATTTGCACACACCGGTCTGTTGTTTGTCTTGTCTGAAAGAACCCTGCGGAGACACCAAGACCCACCTCAAATGCCACCTCTTCTAGGAAGCTCCCCTTGGTCTGTTCTGCCTGGGAAGAAGGTATTTCTGTCAACCAAGTATCTTCCAGTTGCAGGAATCAGATAAGCCTAAGCTTGTTCTGAGAAGTTCCAGCAAGGCTACCCCAGGGCTCATGCTGTACTTTTGGGGCCATCTCCTCTCTGTCCACTCCCATCTCTGAGCCTCCCTGCTTCTTCTTAAACACTAGCCTCACCCTCTCCTACTACAGATGGCTCCCCCTTGCTATTCGGGATGGTGACCCCAAATAGTTCCCCCTTCCATTGTCCTCCCAGCCCACAATCACCCTTCTAGGTATATGGAAAATTCTCGTGGAAGGATCTGATTGGCTTTGTTTGGGTCACATGCTCACTTTTGAGCCAATCAGCATGGACATGATTTATTGCATGCCACAGCTGGCCAGCAGGGAGCAGTAGAGCACCATGATTGTCACACTCTCCAGAACCACAGGGATGGGGCAGGAGCCTTTCCCCAGTGGAAAGAAGAGAGCCTGGGGACAAGGGCAGCCAGGACCTGTTAAAAGAACCTTCTGGAATGTTAGAGAACACCTAAGACTGGGAGCAGTGGGCCATTCTGTCCCACTGTGGTTTGCAGGGTGCTGGGACCTGGTGTTCCGAGGTGAGAGAGACGCCTCCCTGCAGATGTGGTGGGGCTCCCTCCCCTCCTTCAGAGGTGTCAGCTGGATCCCAGAAGCCAAATGGAAGGAGGATTAGCAGCTGTGTGGGTTACAAATCGCTTTAATGATCTCACTCTCCCTTCCCCTGACAGCCCAGGAGAATGATGGGTGCTGTGTGAAAGCGCCCACCGGGTTCTGCGAACTGTCCCCTAGAGAAATGGGTGGCGGGAGGGCTGCCTTCTCTCTTCTCTCGCCCCCGCCGGCAGGGAGGGAGGGGGCGAGGCCCCCCTGGTCGGGCCCCTTGGCACGCAGATTCCTTCTCTGGGAATCCGTCACCTACTCTCTCCTTCTGCTTCCCTAGTCTTGGGCTCCCAGTCAGACAGGTGGGTGGGGCTTCAGGCCACATGGATGGTTAGAATTCAGAAATACCTGTCGGCATTTAATACATAACAGGAGGTGGGATTTACTGAGCTCAGCACTGTTCTAAGTGTTTTACCTTGTTATCTAGTCCATTCTCACCAGAGGCTGGGGTGCCTCACCCCATTTTATAGATGGGAAAGCTGCACGGGGAGCCAGGAAGCATGTCAGGGGCAGAGCTGGGATCTGGACCCAGGTGGCTGACCCGACCCAAGCACTGTCCACACCGCATGTGCTTGTGGAGTGTGCCTTTGCCTTTGCCTTTTAGGCCCAAGTAAAGCAGGTGGAGAGAGAAAGGCTTCCTTCCCTGTCTTCCCCAGGTCACCCAGCATCAGGGCCTCCTGCCCGGCTCCTGACCCCAGTCTGAGCTGGTGAGCCCCACCCTTTCTGCTCCACAGCAGCTGCTCTGGGCCCGGGAAAGGGAGGCCTTGGCCCTTGGGACTCTCTGATTCACCCATCCAACGTGCTGCACCGACCCCAGGTGGGGCTGGTATGGGTTTTAAGAGCTTCTAGGTGGGTCTGTGCCCCTGCAGCCCACCCTCCTCCTTTGCAGGCTCTGGGAGGACCACCTCATAGGCTGGGGGTGAGGGACATCACAGGAGAGGGGAGATGAGGGAGGGGTGGAGGAAGGAGAGAATCCACTTTCTCTTGCTGCTGGATTAGCAGTGTCATCCCAGTGTCACCCAGTGTCCCAGGGCCAGGCAGAGCGGGCGATCAGGAAGGACCAAAAGCAGGAGTCCCCTCATCGTGAAGCTCGGCCCTCCTGCCTCCATCGGCACTGACCTCCTGTGCCTAGGCCCCTGCGCCGGCGGCCCGCCCCGCGACCCAGCCTGATGCAGAGCCTGACACCAGTGCACGCCAACTGTGGGAGGGACAGGGGGCGTCTGGCAGGGTCCCAGGCAGGCCCCC